ACTTTATTTCACTACTTTTTTTAATGTTTCCAAATATCATGAACTTCGGCCCCAGCACCGAGCCTTGCGGTACCCCACTCTTTATTTCTAGACAGTAAACAGATGTCAACCATCAGATAACTGACCTGGAACTGATGGCACACGTCGACATACTCGCCGTATGCCGACGTGTGCCGCATGCAGCTTTCTGTGGCGTTTCAGAGGACAGAATGGAGGTCTTATTACCCCATAGTTGTTCATGGTGTTGGGTCTTCCTTTAGGGGCCGACGACAGCTCAAAGTGCTCCAGCTCCTCCACCAGCTCCTGGCAGAACTTCCTCTCAAACACTGGGAGCCGATAGACTCTGGGAGCTTCAAATGACAGAAAAACATAAGATGTAAACGGCTCTGAATTAAGGATGATTTGAACACAAGAACAAGCAGTTTTCACCACTTTGAGGCGGATTTTAGATCCCTGTTTCATTGATTCTGGTTTCTTTCTAAGAACCGAAAATAATCTGATAGTCTGATGCACTGAAACTGCTTCTGCTCCTCCAGCCTAGAGCCTTGATTGGTTAATAAACAAGCAGAAGGAGACGACTGATTATGAGGTTTACTTGTTAACCAGCTTCAGCCTCTAATTTTAGCATTTAGCAAAGTTATGCTGCGTTCACACCGAAGACGTTTGAAGCGTCAAAAACACAGAAATTTGCATGCTGGACCAAAGTGTGGTGAAGTTGCTTTGCTGCTTGATGCTCTGGTTGTTTATCTGCTCTGTTCAACCTAGAGAGCAGCTCGGCTTCATTTACTTTATGAGCTGGAAAATAGTTTTAAATCGTTTTTCAAGTGAGAAAGTCCACCTTAAAACATCCTGTTTATCATTATCAGTTCTTGTTCAGAGAGCCAGACCTCCAGCATACCGCTGGTGTTTTGTCAGATGAGCATACCACGTCAGACCAACATACCTATAGTCAATACGCATGCGTAAGATGTCAGATTTGCGTTTATCCCTTTGGTTTTGTATGAAAAATAGACTTTAAACTACCTTGATGCCTGTAGTCATGTTCGCCACATCCTTCAAAAAACACCAAAAAGTAAGTAATTAAATCGTTTTTTGTACATGACTAAAGGGATACACGCCCGCTGAGGTAGTTTAGTCTATTTTTCATGCAAAACTAAAGGGATAAAGCCACAGATTAGCGGACCACGGTCTGGATCCGGACCCAACCTGATTTAAAACATCTATAAATTACAGA